ATAGATAAATAAATAAAAAGCTCAAGTCAACAACCTTGGACATTGCCAGTCCTACGGAAAACCCACTACTATTATGGACTACTGGACTACATTGGGAGATCCTGTTGAATTCAAGCACCTACAATATTTAAATGACAATGGAATGCCCCTCTCTGACAAAACTAACCAAACAAGTGGGATAGGAACGAATGATCCTTTTGTATCTGTATATTCATATTAGGATAGGTATACAGCTCCATTCTCTTAATTCAGTGAATAGAGAGGTTTGTTATAATAGTGTTTGAGATAAGATATCATGTCTGCATCTTGTGCAATAAATACCCACTAAGACAACAAAATACAATGTAAAATTTGCCAGTAATCCGTTGTGAAACTGTCTCATTGATATTTGTTTCTCAATAATATCATTTAAAAAATAAAATAACTGAATAAAAATTAATTAATTAAAATAATAATGTAATAGTAATATTATTTGATCCCAATAAAATTACACATAATATAATTTTAAAGCATTAAAAAAATCACTGCTTAGTTTTAGAAATTTTTAAAAAACATGTCATGCACATATTATTTGAGGACCAAAAATTAATCACAAATTTGGTTCCAATGCAAATTAAATGTTTACTTTTTAAGTTATGAAACACATTTAAAGTACTAGATAGCAATGCATGCTATATATATATGTGCTGCAAATACGTGCTAAATGCATGCTACAATTACTTGTTTCTAAATTATTTTTTAAAAAAAAAGCTTAACTCAGTAAGGATTCCTTTACATCAGGCTACTTTATTTGTTCTTGTTTGGAAGGGTAGAATTTCCCAAAGGAAAGAACCTGAGACTTCAGATTGAAGGAGCTTGAAACAGGGAGGAAATATATGGTATAGCATAGAAAGAGCAGTAAGGAGATAAAGATGGCAGGATTTTTCCAACTCATGTAGAACAGATATGAGAGAAAAAATAGAGTAAAAAATCACTCCAAGGTTCTGTCCTGAGTTGTGAGTGGAGCCAATATGTATAGGGGGGAAATGGAATGAAATGAGATCAGAAATTTTGTATGCATGTGTTAATATGAAATATGGGTTAATGTGAAACATGTTGTCCCAAGTGGAGTTGTCAAAGAAAGGGAAATAAGTTCACCTTTGAAGGAAAATATCCTGGGCAGAGATACACATTTGAGTTGAAGATATTAAATGATAGTTAAAGCCATAAGATTGGGGGGGCGGGGATAGCTTGAGAGTCTAAGCACTTTCCTGGATAGCACAAGGACCCAAGTTAAATCGCCATTATAACCTGCCTTGAAGACCCTGGAACTCCATGTGTGCCTTTCCAGCCACCAAAACAGGGCATAGTGACACATGCCTGTAATCTCAGCACTGGGGAGGCTCAGACAGGAGGATCACTACAAGTCCGAACTCCTTAGTGAAACCTTTATCAAATAAATGATTTTTAAAAATATATGTGATTGGGCCAGTCAAATAGTTCATCGGCTTAATGTGCCTGCAAGCAGGCACAGGGGCCAAGGGTTCACTCCCCAGGTCTGCTGTGCTGGCCCCCGCCCCATGCCAATTGATACTGGGAGTGGTGGTGCATGCCTGTAATCCCAGCTCTTAAGAGACTATAAACAGGAAGATCACTACAAGTCCCATCTAGCAGTCAGACCCTGAACACCCTGTAGGCCCTTCCCTTAAAAAAGAAAAAGAAATAAAGAAAAAAACATGAGATTATATGTGATAATCCAAGGTATAGTGGAGAAAATAAAGAGATAAGGGTCTGAGATGGACTCTTGATGTAGTATCCAGGACCAGTAGTGCCCATATTTAGATCTGGGTTTTCAGGCATGTAGGTGTTTCTCCTTTCAGGAGCTCAAACACTATCATCCTGAATTCCAACTATTCATGGAGGGATGGAGGTCGAATTTCATATGGGGTCTGGGAAATATGTGAGAGAAAATTTATCCTGAAGACAGTCACAGAACAGTATTTTTACAAACATGTGTTCTTTAGGATAGCATGGAACAAGTTTATCCCTCAGGAAAGGGAAAATTTGACAATAGACAAATTTGTGGAATGTTCTGTTGTCTTAAGTCTGAATCATTCTCTGCCTTCAATGTTACTATCCATTCATGTATGAGCTCTTACATTTTGCTTCAGATTATTTGTTTGTTCATTCATTTGTTTGTTTCTAAAGTGAGATGGGAGGACCACAACCGAAGTAGTAAGAAGGGAAATAAACAGGCAGAATTCTGCCCAGAACTCAAATTTGAAAAAGATTACAACACATCAGACAACTTCTAAGCTGAGGGCTTGTGAGGTAAAACTGAGGTTCAAAAGCAGGCTCACACTGCAGGTGCAGAGTTATCTGGGGTGTAATTACAGTTTATGTTGGGAGAGGTTTTTTTATATAAACATCAGAGTTGATACATCTGCCCTTATCATATCAACATACACACACTATCAAATTCAGCATCATCACTACAAGTGATTTCTACAGACTGCTATCTAAAAAACTTTTACTGTGCAAAGTTATTCCTAGCTGTTCACACATTTAGCCTTCAAACTCTTACCTCTCTCTTCTCTCATTTAACTGCACACACACACACACACACACACACACACACACACACACACAAACATGAGACCATTTTACTAGGTAACAAAGAAACACTAACATTCTGGAGAAAAGGCATAACACAAGATATAGTCACAGACCTAGCCTGAGGTCGGCCCTGTGCTAGCCATTAATGGTAGTGGAAAAATTAATTAGAAATTAACCCTTTTCTAAGCATGTAGGTATTACTAAGGTGCCTGCAACACAGTTTATGGCCAATATGAGAAAAAATATTGTATCTTTTCAAATACTCACTGCTAAATTTTAAAAGTCTGGACCCCTGGAGAAGAAAATTCAGCACGCACTGTCACTAAAGATAATATTTGGTCAAAACCAAATGATTGACAGAGAGTCACTGTCTCCATAATTCCAGGACAACTCCCCAGATCCTTGGGACTAATTGAGTCTCTCTGATCATCTTCTGGAAAGAGGCTCTGCTTACCTTGAGCTCCTGCCAAGACAATGAGGAGAAAAGCAAGCTGGTGGAAAAAGCAGTGTCTGATCATGGTGACTCTAATCCTGTTTGCAGATCACAGATTCAGCCAATACAGGGAGCTTTCCAAGCTATTAATGGGATCCTAGAGAAGGAAAGGAGGTATATACTCCTACCCTCTGACATGGCCATCTTCTGTGAGCCAATAGAAAGTTGGTTAGCATCTTTTTGTATCATCATAATTTATAAAAAGGAAGCCTTCTGAACTTCAAGCACCAATTAGCTGCTGAATCTTAAATATCTCATATGCAACAGAAAGATTTCTCTCACCAGGTGTTGTTTCATCTCCAGAGCTCTAGAAAAGCTATATAAAGTGTACACGTGGCTTGTTTCTTCACCTACTGGTTAGGCTCAATGGGTGGTGGGATAGGGCTTGTGTCTCTGGTCCAATTCCACTTTTCTGTGTTCCCAAGGAAAGAGGGATTTTATTAAATGAGACCTAAGATCCTATCGTCATAAGAACATCATGTTGTGGCTGCAAAAAATGAAGAAGCACTATAATTATTGATGAGACTAAAAAGTCAGGTGAGTAGAAATTTGGGATTAGAAAGATTAAATTTTTGGGAGATTAATAGATTAATAGAAAAGACAAAAAGGAAATTAATATTGACCTCACAGGTACACTCTTCTCTCCTTTCATTTCTGGGTCATCAGTAAAACTGCATGGAGATCTAGGGCTCTCTTCATGACTGACTTCACAAGATTTTCTTCACTCTCCTTTCTTTATATTTCAGAGAACATTTTGAGAGCAGGAAAGTAATAACTGGTATAGACACTTCACCTAGGAATGCATTAGCCTCTGTTACCACATACAGGGACTACAGATTACACAGTAGGTACAAAATGAGTCCCATGTCGTGAAATAAGGCAGTTTGCTCCTGAGACTCCAGACTACCTGGATGGAAAGTGTGAGCCTTCTATTCCCAGTCCTCTTTATCAGTGTTTCGTTCTGTGCTAGCCAGGAAAATCACAGTAAAACATGAGCTTTTGTAGCCGAAAGAAAGTAACCCTGCCAGATGAGATGAGAGTACAAGTAAAAGGGTGGAAGATGATAAAATTTTAAGAGTTGTTGAAGGTAATGCCTGAAGGCTTACATGGAGATTGTCAGTCACTTTGTAAGTATAGAAAGCATGCTGGGTAGAAGCAGAGCACACAGGATTACCCTGAACTTGGAATGAGTTTTACTTTCATTGGGGACTTTGAGAAGGCCAGGGAGTCCCTGAAGAATTAAGGAAAAGGAAGACAAAAGTAAAACTTGAAGGAGAAAATGAGGATTAATGCAGAGATTATCTTAAACCATATTTAAAGATAGAAATTTTATCTCAGTTGTTATAGTGGTGATTTTATATGTTGAGTAATTATCATTTCATTCTATTACTATGCTCCTCTGCCCAATGCATGAAGCAAGGAGACACAAAAAATGTATTTGTGAAGTCATAAATATATGAGTTGAGGAAAATTCACATAAAAAAGAGTGCTACAAGTCTTTTGTTCAGATAAGTCTGGCTCTGACCCAGAGCCCTTGACTGAATTTCTACTTAGGAATTAGTCTTCCACTTTTATCGAATGTAGTATTCTTCATTATAAATGGCGGTTCAGTCAAGGCAATTGAAAGTATTCTAGATTCTTTAAAGGCATTGTTTGCTTGGTGAGTTAACTACTGGAAAACAATTTTAAAACATCCTGCCCAAAACTATGATGTTCAATCTATGGCTTCAGGAATTTTTCTACTATACAATTATGTATATGCACATTACAATTGTTCTAAAAACATCATTTTCAGCATTATATAATGTTATTTAATTACTATAATATCCTTTGAGAGTCCACTGTTCCTTCTTTTTCTCATTTTTTTGTACTTAGGACAAGTTCTACAGGGTCTCACTGCATAGATCAGACTTGAAGTGATTCTTTTGTTTACAGCCTCACCAGTGCTGCAATTACAGACACATGCCACCATGCCAAGGCTCACTGCCATCTCAGCGTTCACTGTGTGTGGGGATGGCATGGCTGGCCCGGGTGAATCGAACTCCCAACACCTGTGTCTGCCTATGTGAGCTCTTTGATATGCTGAGCTGATAGTTCTCAGGCTCATTGCCTTAACCATCTTGTGCATATAAATATATGGCTTTGCCCTTGTCTTGTTTCCTAGCTTTTCTCCTTCTCTTTTTGTTGTCTGATCCTCAAGTTGTCACTTTCCTTTTAATTGTGTTATACCTTTCTATTTGTATTTCTTCTTTTGTGTTCTTATACTAGGGAGACTATATGATATTTAAACATGTGAGTGTGGTTTATTTCACTTAAGAGTATATCTTCAAGTGGCATCCACGTCAATATAAAGGCTTTGAGTTTATCATTGTTTCTACCTGAGTAATACTCCATTGTATAACAATACCACATCTTTTTCTTCCATTCTTCAGGTGATGGACATCTTGGTTGTTTCCAAGATTTGGTTATCACAAATTGTGCAGCTATACACATAGGTATCCATGTATCACTATGATATGACATTTTCAGTTCCTCTGGGAAAATTCCCAGTAGGGAGATAGCTGGTTTAAATGGGATATCCAGTCCTAGTTTTTTTTAAGGAGTCTCCACACTGACTTCCATAATCGTTGCACCTGTCTACATTCCCACCATCAGTGGAGAAGGGTTCGTTTTTGCCCACATCCTCTCCAACATTTGTTGTTAGTTGATTTGTTTATGATAGCCATTTTTTCTGGAGGAGATGGTAACTCAGTGTTCTTTTAATTTGCATTTCATGGATGGCTAGTGATGTGGAGCATTTTTTCATATATTTATTCACTTTTTAATTTCATTCTCTGAAAAGTGTGCATTCATCTCTGATGCCCATTTCTGGATTGGGTCTTTAAATTTTGGGGTGCTAATGTTTTTTTAGTTTTATATAAATTCTAGAGAACAGACCTTTTTCTGAATGCTTATTAGTCAAGACTTTTTCCAAATTTGTGGGTTGCATCTCTGACAAAACTGAACAAAAAAGTGGAATAGAGATGAACCACCCTTTTGTATCTGTATACTCAAAATAGTTAGGATAGATACACAGCTCCATTCTCTTAATTCAATGAATAAAGGGATTTGTTATATTAGTGTTTGAGATAAGATATCATGTCAGCATCTTGTACAATGAACTAAGACAATAATACTCAGTATATTAATTACTGAAAATGTGCCAGTAATTGGTTATGAAGTTCTCATTGATATTGTTTTCTCAATAAAATTAATTTTTAAAAAATTGTGGGTTGTCTTTTCACTTTGTTGGTAATTTCTTTTGACATGCAAAAACTTCTCAATAAGAGGAGGTCCCAGTTGTTAATTCTTTCAAATGTTAACATATCAATACTTGATGGAAAATATATGTTCCATCCTATGCCTAAGATGTTTGATATCCAGAGAGATAGTGAGGTTAAACCCACCTGCATATGTTGTAGAGCAATAATAAGCTTCTCTTCTGGATGGTTAACAACCTAAGTTTGAAGACCAAAAATTAGAGAAAAAGAAGGGCTTCAAGGACAGCCCACATTTTGGCCCTAGCCTTTCAAGATCAATGAGGCCTCAGGACATAGGAGAACCTATTCTGTAACATCATTAGCTCAGTTGTGTCCCAAATATTCTGATCAAGGAGATTATGCGGCTACAGAGTAATGTGATCGATGATGTAGTGTGTGCCTAAAGATAGTCACATGGAGAAAAAAAACATTCTCTCGGGCTTTCACAGAGAGTAAATTACTCAAGCAATTGCTATAACTCATCTACATGGCTAACACTGACAAAGGATCTACCAAGTGAGGTACAGGGTTTCAGGATAAGTCCTGAGGAGATTTGACTGACTATGTCAGATACAAAAGTTACATTCTTTGTTATATAGGTCTTGCTTTATCTTCATCTTAACCATCCAGCAGAAAAGTGTAGAAACGATATACGAAAAGTGAAACCATGTTAATATGCTGAGCTGTGGAAAGCTCAAGTCATCAGATTTGGACATTGCCAGTCCTGTGTATAACACACTACTATTGTGGAGTACTGCACTATATTGAAATATTTTGCTTAACTCATGCACCTACAATATTTGGATGGCAATGGAATACCCAACTCTAACAAAACCAAACAAAATGGTGATATAAATGAAGGAGAATTTTGTATCTGTATACACAACTTAGGATAGATATATAGTTATTTTCTCTTAATTCAATAAGAACATAGATTTGTACTATTAGTGTTTGGACAGAATATCATGTCTGCATCTTGTGCTAAGAATAACTACTACAAAGCCAACAATATCAATGTATTAATT